TCGCCGTCGCCGTCGCTGTCGTCGTCGTCGCTGTCGTCGTCGTCGTCGTCGTCGTCGTCGTCGTGGTGGTGGTGGTGGTGGTGACGTTGGTGGTCGTCGTGGTGGTGGTGGTGGTCGACGAGAGGGGGGAGGAAATTGATAGAAGGAAGGGAGGGAGGGAGGGACGGGAGGAAGTGCGGGAGAGGGGAAATGGATATATCTATGTATGTATACATAGAGAGAGAGGGAGAGAGAGAGAGAGAGAGGTGGATGGGATGTGATGAAAGGGAGTAAGAAAGGGAGGAAGCGGGGAGACAGGGAGGGAGGGCGGAAGAGGGGAGGAGGAGATGGGCGAGGATGATGATGATGATGATGATGATGATGATGATGATGATGATGATGATGATGATGATGATGATGATGATGATGATGATGATGATGATGCTGATGATGATGATGATGATGAGGAGGAGGAGGAGGAAGAAAAGGCGGACGAGGACGAGGAGGAGGAGGAGGAGGATGAGGAGGGTGGAGGAAGGGGGAGAGGGGAAGGAGGAGGAATGGCAAGAGGCGGGGGGCGAGGAGGGGGGTAAGGAAGAGCAGCAGCAGGAGGAGCAGGGGCAGTAGGAGGAGGAGGAGGAGGAGGAGGGAAGGATGACGAGGCAGTGAAGGAGGGGGGACGAGAAGGGAGAAGGGGTGTGAAGGATGTGAAGGAGAGCGAGGTGGAGGATGAGGCGGGATATGAGAAGAGTGAAGAGGAAGCGGGAGTTCGAGGAGGAGGAAGGGGTAATGAGGCAGAAGACGATGAGGCTGAGGAGGGCATGCGGATGAGGATGATGGTGATGCTGATGAGGATAGTGATGGTCATGATGGTGATGATGATGCTGCTGCTGCTGATGATGATGATGATGATGATCGTGATGCTGATGATGATGGTGTTGTGGTGATGATGCGGATGTTGTTGATGATGACGATGATGATGATTATGTTGCTGCTGATGGTGATGATGCTGATGGTGGTGGTGATGATGGTGCTGCTGCTGATGCTGATGATGCTGATGACGCCGATGCTGGTGACGATGATGATGCTGCTGACGATGATGACGATGATGATGATAATGATGATGATGATGATGCTGCTGATGATGATGAATATATGTATGATGGTGATGATGACGATGCTTATTGTACTTATGATGCTGATGCTGATGCTGATGCTGATGCTGATGCTGCTGTTGACAATGGTGCTGATGCTGATGCTGATGCTGATGATGATGATGACGATGGTGGTGGCGACGACGATGCTGATGCTGATGATGATGCTGGTGATGATGAGAGTGGTGGTGATGATGATTATGATGATGATTGTGATGATGCTGATACTGATGATGGTGTTGATGATCATCAGCATGTTGATGATGATGCTGATGCTGCTGCTGCTGATGATGATGCTGATGATGATGGTGCTGCTGCTTCTGTTGCTGCTGCGGACGATGATTCTGATGATGCTGCTGATGATGATGTTGCTGTTGATGATGGTGGTGGTGATGATGATGATGATGATGATGGTGATGATGATGATGATGATGATTATGATGATGATGATGATGCTGATGATGATGATGATGATGACCATCACGGTCATGATCTAGATCAGTGCCATGATGATTTGCTGATGGTGATGGAGGGTAAAATGGGGCAGGGAAGTTGGGATGGACGAATGGAAGGAGGGAGAAAGAGGGATGAATGCTGGTGATCGTAGCGCGCTGATGCCATTGTGCCTGTGGGGGCTTGCCGCATCATTTCGTCGGGTTAAAGAGTTTTGAAGTGTCGGGGGGCGTCCAGGGGCGGACAACACAACGCTTGCGCAATGCCTGCGACTCCTTCGCAGCATCTGTCTAGTATTATTTTTGGACCTCGGGGGCGGCGGGGTCGAACGCTCGGTTGCTGAGAATATGGTTTGATCGCTTCTCTCTCCCAAGCCCTTTATAGCAGGGCTGGACCTAAACGGTATTTTTGGTGATTTCGTGGGCCGTTTCCGTTTCGACTTCGTTTTGCGGTAAAGGCGGATTCGAGACAAAAGCTAGGGAAAATTAAAACAACACGAAAACAAAAATCACCGTTTAGGTTCAGCCCTGCTTTATGGTAGAGTCCCACTTGCCTGTGCTGGCGGAGACGGCCGCGGCCGCCGCGGCGGCGGCGGTGGCGACAACGACCACAGCATCCCGGCTGGCGCCAGCGGGCGCTCCCCTTCGCGGCGCGCCGCGCCAGCGGAGAGGGGCCAGTTTTGTGAGCACGTGTAATTATTTCTGGGTTTCTGGGGGCTTCTGGGGCCCCTGGAAACCTTTGGGACTCTCCGGGGAGCTCTTGGGGCGCTGTGGGGCCTGACTTTCTCGCGCGCCGGGGGCGACTTTGGGAGGATGTCTCGAGCGAGAGCCCCGGACTGGGACGCGCCTGGTGCACCCTGGCGCGCGCGGATTTCCCGGAAACGGGGCAGGGGGGGCAGTTGGCGGGTCCATTCGCGCGCCGCGGGTGAGGTTGACGTGAGTCCTCAAGACAAACGCCTTGCTGAAGCCCTCTCCTCGTTTTTCCTCCTTCTCCGAGGCCTCCTTCTCCTGCTCGTTCCTCCTCCTCCTCCTCCTCTTCCTCATCCTCCTCATCTTCCTTCTTCTCCTCATGCTGGTTCCTCCTCCCTCTGCTCGAGTGCTGTCAGCCGTGTTGAAAGCATGACTTGAGCCCTGGAGACGAACTCCCGCAAGCTATGCTCCCTCCTCTCGCCCGCGATGCCTCGCAGTGCCGTGCCATGCGTTTCGCCACGCTGTGCAGTACCGTGTCGCGTCATGCAGTGATTTGTCGTGCGATTCGTATTGCGATCTTGCTATACTCGGCCACGTGCAGAGGGGGGTAGGGGGAGGGGGGAAGGCTTCGTAGAAACACTCTTGCCTCTTATAAGGGGCGGGCCTTATCTATAGATGTAGGGCCAGCGCCTTCTAAGAAGCGGCCTCCTTCCAAGCATCCTTCCCCCCTCCCCCTACCCCCTTGTGCGCGCCGCCAAAATACAGTGCCGCGCTGTGCTTTCCCAAAAACGGTGCCACGTGTGGCTACCGTTTTTGCAGTCTATATGCTATGGACTCCGAGTGATACTTTCGAGTATTGCGGATTCTGGCCTGACATTTCCCGAGGCAGTTTTAGACGAGAATGGAAAGAAGCATTACACGTCTTGTTTGGATCGGCATTGCACAACTACCGCGTGATATACTCCAACCCTTATAGAGAGTGATACACCGAAATTTATGTGTTTGGCGGCATTGATGGTGGAATCATCGGAGTAACCAGTATTGCACTTCTGCTTACATGATGATGCCATGTTTCTGCGTGCCAGCGTGCACGCATCTCGAGTGGTGCAGACCAGCATCTCAGCTTGTGTTGTGCATAGCCCTGCACGGCGCGAGCAGCTTCACGCTCAGCGGTCAGCAGCGGTCAGCAGCGGCCATCGCTGCGAGGCCGTTTAGCAGCAGGCTCTGCACAGCCAGCGGCCTGCCTGCGATTCGAAGAGATCGCCTGCTAAGGCGCCTCGGCTCGGCGACGTGGTTGTTTGAGGATCGGGGCGACGCAACAAGAATGTGGCACCGTCGTGCCACACGGCCTCTGCACCACCCCCAAGCGCACAACGCCCCACGCCTCGCCTCGCATAATTTTTGAAACCCGTGCGAGCAGACAGGAGAGTGCCCATTGAGGCACGGGCGGCCTTTCTCTTCCTTCCTTCCTTCCTCCCCCCTCCTCCTCCTCCTCCTCCTCCTCCTCCTCCTCCTCATTATCATCCTTCTCCTCCTCCTCCTCCTCCTCCTCCTTCTCCTCTTCCTCATCCTCCCTCCTCCCTCCTCCCTCCGAGCAGTGTGGCTGCTGTCAAATGCCACAAGCGACGCGATCGTGCAGCACACGCGGCCTGGCCTCAGAGGCCACGGTCTCCCTCCCCCTCTACTCCCCCTCCCCTCCCCCTCTCCTCCTCCTCCTCCTCCTCCTCCCCTTATCCTCCTCCTCCTCCTCATCCTCATCCTCAGCCTCCTCCTCCCCTCCTCCTCCCCTCCTCCTCCTCCTCCTCCTCCCCCTCCTCCTCTTCCTCCTCCTCCTCCTCAGAGGCCGATCTGACATACTTATTCAACGCATGATGTTTGGCGTGCACTGCTTGCTTTGTCGTGTGTCGCCGCTGCCTCTCAAGCCCAGACTCCGGTCGGCTCGCCCTCGGTCCTCGCCCCGCTTCGCCGCGCCACCTCAGGCCATGATGTCTGAGTACGAGCAGTGCGAAGCGTACGACAAGGCGCAGGCACGTCGGGCAGCAGGGGAGGGGGGTGTCGGGGGTGGGAGGAGGAGGAGGAGGAGGAGGAGGAGGAGGAGGAGGAGGAGGAGGAGGAGGAGGAGGAGGAGGAGGGGTGGAAGGGTGGGGCACTGGGCCCGGGGTAGTCACCGCCGCCGGGGACGGCGCCACGGCGCGGCGGCGGCGGAAGGGAGAAAGTGGGGGGGCAACGCTGGCGGGGGGACAGCCTCGGGGTGGGCAGCAGGGGGCAGCAGGGGAGGGGGGTCGGGGGCATGCTTGCTCAGTGGAGCAGAGTCCTTTTCAGACGCGCGCCACGAGGCATGAGGAGACGAGAACTGAGAGCGGAAAGGATGAGGTGGCTGACGTGCACGGTGCCCAGTGCTCAGAGTGGCCACGAGGCGCGTTGGCAGAGCCCTGTGGGTGCGCATGCATTGCTGGATCAGGTGGCTTGAGTGCTCCCACGCACCCGATTCGCCTGTGCATATCTTTGTCGGGGACCTGCCTCCTTATTGCTCTTTGTTGGGTTTGCCTTCGCAGTCTTTTGTGCTCTATGTCCTCGCGTGTCTTCGCTTGGCGTGTTGCCTCCACGTACACGCCACCGCCCTCTTTCCATCTTCCCCTTCCTTTTCCTTCCTTTCTCAATCCTTCCCCACTTTCCCTCCCTCCCTCTCTCCTCTCTCTCTCTCTCTTTCTATTTCTCCCGCCCATCTACATCTACTCATTCAGAAGACCGTCCGCACCCATTTTGGCTCAAGTTGCCTGCACGACTGACGTCGGCTCTCGTCCTCGAGTTGACCCCGCTCCAGAACGCCACCGGGCCGGAGTCCTGCTCCGCCTCGCTCGCGATGGCGGCGACGACCTATGGCAACGTGGCCGCCGCCCCGCCGCAGCAGCAGATTATGGGGGGAGACATCTTCATGGGCGCGCAGAAGATCTTCATCAAGCAGGAAATGGCCGTGATCGAGCTGTGCGGAATCGAGGCGAAGCAGCGCTACCGAATCTCCATCCCGACGCAGGACAACCAGGAGGGCCAGGTGTTCCTGTACATCTCGGAGGAGTCGGACTGCCTCATGCGCGTCTGCTGCTCCAAGAACCGCGCCCTCAAGCTGAAGGTGCATAATGGGCCGTCCAAGGAGGGAGAGGTGATCCAGACCATGGAGATGCCGTTCCACTGCAGCGGCCCTTGTCCGTGCATGCGACCCAACTTCACAGTCCAGTCGGGCGGCGAGACCATCGGAAGCATCGATGACCCCTGCCACTGCTGCACCATGGACCAGAAGGTGCTGAGCAAGGACGGCAGCGAAGTCTTCACCGTGGATGGCTCGATCTGCCAGGTCGGCATGTGTTGCCCGTGTTGTGCTCCCGTGACCTTCGAGGCCAAGAAGAACGGCACCAAGGTCGGTGGCGTCGAGAAGCTCCCCCTTGACCTCTCGGACTGCTGCATGAAGACCAATCGCTTCATCGTGGACTTCGGAGCGCTGCAGGATCCCAACGAGCGCAAGCTGATGCTCGCCTCCGCGATGCTCCTGGACCTCGAGTACTTCGAGGAGGACAAGTAGGGAGGCGGCGGCATCCCCTCCTCATCCTCATCGTCCCTCATGCTCCTCCCCGCCACCGCCTGTGCTCCACTACTCGCCATCTCCAGCCGCGGCAGGCCCAAGCCGGGCAATCGCGCAGCCCCGATCCGGCAAGCCGCTGGCGCCGCCAAGAGGGCGATCCCCCGAGCTCCACCCCCCCTGCTCTCTCGTCCTTCCTCCCCCTCCTGCTGCTCCTGCCCGCACCCCCTCCCTTCTCTCCACCCGCGGGGGAGGTGCGACCCAGAGGGTCCGCTCGCAATGCGCAGGTGGGCGGCCTGCGCTCCTCGCTGGCGGGGGCCCTCCTGTGACGTGCCCTTGGCAACGCTGTCCTTGGCAACGCTCGGACGTGTGCTCTGCTTCCCGGCGAGGACCATCGAGGAGCATCTCGTGCGAGAACAGCGCGCGCACGGAACCGGTGCCTGCTCGCGGAATGGACGTCCGAGCGGTGGCAAGTGTCGCATTTTCCCCCAGCGTGCTGATTTGCAGGCGCTCTTCGGCAAAGCACGCCATCCGATCGCCTATCCGTGAGCGGAGTATCGTCCGCTGCGTGAGCGGTGTATCGTACTGGCCCTGTGAGAGCCTGCAGCGACGTTCGCCCTCCCGCTTCTGCCCTTTGCACTTCTCGGATGTGGCGAGCTATCGCCAGCCCGGGGTTCACTGCGCGGGGCGGCACCGTGCGCAGATTGCCTCTACGCCGTAATGGCTATCGAACGGGCGAGACGAAAAAATAAATCATTCTGAAGACCGGTTGCCTGTCTCCCGTGGCAGCTTCTGGATGTGCGTTTGCTTTCCCGCGTATAAGCTATGTGGCTTACACGGGTTGCAGCAAGTTGATGTGCCACTTTCGGAACGCATTCGATCCTTCAGGTGGTGTTTCGATCGCAGCGATATAATTCGTTCCCGTCGTCCGGAGTGGCGCTCTTTGTTACAGAGCGGGCCACACTTCTGCCTCCGAGCCCTTCGTCGTTTTCGCCCTGCTCCTCTCCCCCTCCTCCCCCTACTCCGCCTTCCCCTGGCCCTCCTGCTCCTCCCGCTCCTCCTGCTCCTTCCCCTGCTGCTGCTGTTCCTCCTCGTCCTCCTCCGTCCTCTTCCTTTTCCGTATTGCTCATCAGCCACCTCTCCTCCCCTCTTTTGCACACGATGGAGTCCTTGTGGGGGAGCCAGGTTCGCTATGGCACCCGCCTGCGGATGGATAGAGAAAGCATCAGCGAAACGGGAAGGGACGGGTGGTTAGGGCATTATGTCAGATATGGCGCCAGTGCGCGTAGCTTGCCCCCTCCCTTCTCCTCTCCTCTCCCCCTCCGACCTACTCATCCCCTCTTTCTTCTTACACCCTTCTTGGAGCGCCTTAGAAACACATAGACCATTAAAGCACCCTCCTCTCTCGTCCTCTCTCCTCCTCCTCCTTCACCTCCTCCTCCTCCTCCTCCTCCTCCTCCTCCCTCCTCCTCCTCCTCCTCCTCCTCCTCCTCCTCCTCCTCCTCCTCCTCCTCCTCCTCCTCCTCCTCCTCCTCTCCTGCTCGGTTTCTCTTTTCCCCACGGCATGCAAGTCTTCAGACGCTGCCGCTTCCCCCGGGGAGGCCTGGTCGGGTACCCTGGGCGAGTAGTACGACAACGAGAAGATTAGTGACCGAGGTCCTGCAGACAGAAGGTCCGAACGTTGCCGCTTCCGTGCCTCACGCGAACGGGCTAAAGGAGATGCCGAACGTGTTGATGACGATCTTCGCGGGGGTCCCCGCAGGGCTTCCTTTTCTGGGGGCCGCCGCCCTTCGGCGCATGGCGCTGCGGCGGCCCCCGGGCCCCTTATTTTTCCTTCTGGCCCAGACTGGGCTCATGTGGAGGGAGGAGGAGGGAGGAGAAGGAGGAGGAGGAGGAGGAGGAGGAGGAATAGGCGGAGGAGAGGAGGAGGAGGAGGAGGAGGAGGGAGGAGGAGGAGGAGAGGGGGGAGGAGGAGGAGGAGGAGGAGGAAAAGGGAGGAGGAGGAGGAGGGAGGATGAGGGGGAGGAGGAGGAGGAGGAGGCGCCGTCTGTGCCCAGGCTGGGCGGCACCCTCCCTCATGTTACGCGGGCGGCGGGAGGCCGCCCTTCGGCGCACACGGCGCTGCGGCCACCCGCCGAGGAGCTGGATGCTCCTCCTGTCGACTCGTCCCTCAAGCTTCGCTTCTTCGCTTTGGTCTTTCCAGCTGCTGGCCGCTGGGTGCCTCTGTGCTCTTCTTCGCCTCATTGTGTGGTCGTTCCAGCCCTCCTCCTCCTCCTCCCTCCTCCTCCTCCTCCTCCTCCTCCCCTCTCTCCTCTCACCTCCTACCTCTCCCTTTCTCCTGCTCCTGCTCCTTCCTCCTGCTCCTCCTCCTCCCCCTCCTCCTCCTCCTCCTCCTCCTCCTCCTCCTCATGCTCCTGCCTGCAGCCTCCTCCCCCTCCTCCTCCTCCTCCTCCTCCTCCTCCTCCTGGCCTGCAGCGGGCGCGGGCGACCTTCTGAGCCTGCTGCGGCTGTGCCCGCCTCGCGCGCCCTGTCGTGAACGCCAGTGCTCCTCGACCCCGAGGCACGGGAGAGGGCCCCGACCGAGCCTGGTAATGGCCAGCGAGAGGCGGTGGAACGGAGCTGAAGTGGAGTGGACCCGCGGATCCGCCGTGCCAGGCGGATGTTTCTGTGCTCGCGTGGGGTGGCGGTCCAGGTGGCGTGTCTAATCTGACCTGAGCCTCCTCCTCCTCCTCCTCCTCCTCCTCCTCCTCCTCCTCCTCCTCCACCTCCTCCTCCGCCTCCCTCTCCGCCTCGGCCTCCTCCTCCTCATCCTCCTCCTCCTCCTCCTCCCTCCCTCCCTCCCTCCCTTATCCTCCTCCCCCTGCATTGCCTTCTCCACCAGGAGAGGCGTGCCGCCATCAGCGGTCATTCCCCCCCCCTTTGGCCGCTCGGCGGGCCGTAGGCCTCCCTTCTGGAGGCACCTGTCTTTCAATCGCATCGTGCTGCGAGGTAAGGATCAGGGACTTTCTTGAGGACACTCCGCCTCCTCCTCCTCCTCCTCCTCCTCCTCCTTCCTCCCCTCCTCCTCCTCCTCCCCCTTCTCCTCCTCCTCCTCCTGATCCCATCCTCCTCCCTCCTCCTCCTCCTCCTCCTCCTCCTCCTCCTCCACCTCCTCCTCCTCCTCTGCCCTCCGCCTTCGCCTCCTTCTCCTCCTCCTCCTCTCTCCTCCTCCTCCTCCTCCTCCTCCTGCTCCTCCTCCTCCTCCTCCTCCTCATCCTCTCCTGCCCTGCTCCTCCTCTCCTCCTCCTCCTCCTCCTCCTCCTCCTCCTCCTCTCCCCTCCTCCTCCACCTCCTTCCTCCTCTTCCTCCTCCCCTCCTCCTCCTTCCCTCCTCCTTCCTCCTCCTCCTCCTCCATCATCATCATCATCACATCATCATCACCATCATCGTCCTCCCCCTCGTCCCTCCTCCTGCTCCTTCCTCCTCCTCCTCCTCCTCCTCCTCCTCCTCCTCCTCCTCCTCCTCCTCTCCTCCCTCCTCCCCTTATTCCTCCTCCTCCTCCTCCTCCTCCTCCCCCTCCTCCTCTCCCCCTCCTCCTCCTCCTCCTCCTCCCTCCTCCCTCCCTCCCTCCCTCCCTCCCTGCCTCTCTCTCTCTCTCGCGCTCTCTCTTTCTCGCTCCCCCTCCCTCCTGTTCTCTCTCCTCCTCCCCCTCCCTTCCTGCCTCCCTCCCTTTTTGTCCGTCTCTCTGTCGTGGCCCTTCTCCCTTTCCCTCCTCCCTCTTCCCTCGTCCTCCCCTCTCGCTGCCTCTCGCTCCCCACCCCCCTCCCGCACGCCCCCACACCCCTTCCGCGTCCACCTCCACGCCCGCCCAAACCGCCCCCCCTCTCCCCGTACAGAGGAGATCCATGCCAAGAAACACCCTGCTTGCCTCCAGGGTGCCCTCGATGGTTTTGCGATGGAACGCGTGACGCTCCCACACCAGAAACCAATAAACGTCCTGGAGTCGCAGGGTTGGGCTTCTTGTGGCAGGTTTCTTGTGGAGTGGCTTCCACTGCATCTCCCCCCCGCTCCCCCCTTCGGGGCCCTCCGACCACGTGAATCGGGGAACGCAGTCTTGCCCTTCACTACCGTGTGTGTTTTCATATTGAAGATCTCCTAAGTGACCTCGCGTGTGTTCATCGGCAAAGCACACTTACCGTCTGGAAACGCGATATGGGATAGTTGTGGGGTTGTTCGGATACGTGAGTTTAACTCGTTCCGTTAAATTGCCCAGGCGCGGACTTCCAGACACGGGGGGTGGCGAATGACTCATGGCTGTGCGGTGCGTGAAGCATACTATGGCGTGTTCCCAGAGAGGTCTCAGGAACATCGAATCTTAGGCTCCTGCAGTGCCGTGCGGTGCGTGAGGCATAGCTTGGCGTATTCCCTGAGAGGCATTCGGGAGCATTGGATCTTAGGCTTCGGCAGGCAGGAGCCAGAGGCACACGCCGGTATTCGGCATCACTCCTTTTTTAACCCAAGACGGACGAGAACAAGAAGGTTGTCCTCAAAGCGAGGAGCAAGTCTTGGCAGCAACGCAGGCTCGTGACTCATCTGTCGGTCTCTGCCGAGGCCCTCCTCCGCCTCGCCGCCAACAGCCCACATAGTTCTTCAACGTGGTCCCACACTCTACCTGTTCGGCCTGCGGAGACCGTCCGTCTGCTTCCTTCCGGAGCTGGCGGCTGGAACGCCGATTGCGGAGTTGACTTCGGAGGAGCTGTGAGCACGGAGTCAGACGAAACAAATAATAGAAGAAGAGGGAACTATACATAAACACAAAAACACGGAGCTAGATGGAACCTCACTGCAGGCTCCCCGGATCTGTCCCCCTATAGTTTTCTCACCATGCTCCCGCAAGGCTTCGTCGTGGTGCTGGTGGTAATGATTGTCCTCCTCCCCCTCCTCCTCTTCCTCCTCCTCCTCCTCCTCCTCCTCCTCCTCCTCCTCCTCCTCCTCCTCCCCCTCGTCCTCCTCCCCCTCGCCCCCCCTCCTCGGACCTGACGGCAGGCTCCTGCCTGCCAGAAGGCGTCTCGGAGCTTCCTTGCCCCCTCAGGCTCACGCGCTCACGAGCTGCGCGGCGCTGGGGGCGAGCTGCGCCTGCAGAGCTGTGGCATCGGCTCTCCCGCCTCTCGGTCGAGGGCAGGGCCGTGGATGCGCACCAGAGATGGGCCCCACATCTGGTCGAATGGTTCCCGACTTGCCCCCTCGCCCCCTTCCTCTGGCATCGGGCGCCTCGCAACAATCGGGACGGAGGTTTCTCCTCGCTCTCGGCCCCTCCCTCGGGGCCCTCGCCAGGCCTCGGGACCGTCAGCAAGACGACTTGGGACGAAAAACCGGTCCTGGGGAAGTGGTCGGGAGGTCGGGAAGAGGAGGAGGAGGAGGAGAAGGAGGAGGAGGAGGAGGAGGAGAAGGGGGAGGAGGAGGAATAGGAGGAGAAGGAGGAGGAGGAGGAGGAGGAATAGGAGGGGGCGAGGAGGAGGAGAAGGAGGAGGACGAGGAGCGAAAAAATCGAGACGTCGGAGGTCTGGGTTCCCCCCGCGCCTTCCTGGAGGGAGCAGGGCCTCCCGCGCGGCCCAGCGCAGGGCAAGCAGATCTCCGCGCTGCTGGACCGCCTGTCGCAGCTCTCCAAGGACCGGGCCTCCTGGCCGCCGGGCGCCTCTGCCAGCTTGGCTACTCGAAGAAGAAAAAACGCTATGAACAGAAACTGTTGGCGCTCCGCGCGGATTTCTTGGATCCGCGCTTGGCCCCCCTGGCGGCGCCTCCGGCGCCTCCCCTGGCGCGCTCCGCGCGCTAGGGAG